AACTTAGTGGACACTTTGGGAATGATTCAGGGGTGTAACTGTAAATGCCCAGTGCCATTTTGGACGCCTTAGGGTATTACATCCAGCTTCCAGCTGCTGGGCCAGAAGGATGCAGGTCTCGTGAAGATGTAACACATCTGTCAGATCACTGCAGGTGTCCCAAATACTCTAGGGCACTTAAAATATTTACAGACATTTATGTGCTGGCACTTCAATTGCAGTAACTTTGTTTCTTTGGTTCTAACTCTGAAAGGCTAATGGGAGGTAGGGGAAAGAGCACGAAAACTGTGAAAGTTTCCAAGCAGTTTTCCCAAGTTTTCCCATTCTCAGGATGACTTTGCTGTTGCTTAGAAGAAAAAGAGAACTCACAAAGCCAGAAGGAAGTAATAAGCTTTGAAATAAAAATACGGACAAACTAATATCACAGGTTATTTTGGTAAAGTAAAACAGAAATTAAGACTTTATAATGGGAAAGAAAAGCTCTTAGCACATACACATTGGAATGAGACCTCAGATATTTTGAGTTCTGTTTCCTAGTTCTGCCACAGACTTCTTTGGAACTTGAGCACTTCACTTGGTGTCTCGGGAGCCGTCTATCTAACGCTTACCATTTTGTCCCTTCTGCTGGAATAAAGGCCTTGATAGTTTGGGCTCAGCAGCACGCTAATGCGGCCACATGGGTTTTGGATTGGACTGGGTTCCTGCCTTGCCAAGTCACTGAGCAGGTGAAGGACGCGGCAACTGCCCAAGAAGGACCAACGCGGCCACAGCCAAGGTAGCTAGTGGGAACCAACACTGCTTCGCTCTGCAAAAGGCTCAATCTTCAGCACAAAATAAAGGCTGCAGGCACAATAAGCAGAAATAAGGCAGGATTTCCTGCCCACTAGCAAATACTCAATATTTAACCTTGCATAATGCTTATTATGTCTTAATGGTAACATTCTTGTTGTCACTTTTCTATAAAAATTGGTAGGAATAATCCTGATACATCTATTTTCTGTAAAATGAACTAATTAGTTGCGCGCGATTTTTTCTATTTAAGCTCCCAAGAAGATGTGAGAAAAAAGTATTTATGGAAAAATAAGCTATATCCCAAATTATTTTAACTCCACTGATCAGTTGCTAATATAAATAGCACAGTTCTACATTGTACTATAGTACAACTATACTATAGCTTGCTATAGCAAAAATAAAACTTGCTGTAAGAATTGTCTTTATTAAACAGCTAGTCTTAGTTGAAAAAAAAAAAAAGAAAACAAGCTGTCCTTTTTTCTGTATTTCTCAGGAACAGGTCCAGCAAAAGTTTATCCCTATTGTTCAGAAAACTTGACCCCATCCGTCAGTCTGATAAAAGATATTACTTCTTCCTATAATACTTGCCTCTTTGATATTCTTTAACTCTTGTGGCGAGGATAACATTATTAAAAATTACTGTTATTGTAAGAGATTTATACTTTTTCTTTAATAACATTTCAGAATCCATTCCACATACTTAAGTGGCGCATGTTGTTTAGAAGGGACAAATACGATTTACATTTCTAAGTGCCTTTTAACATAGAGAAGACGGTGTCAGTGTGAGAATCTGTAGGGAGTGCGATATGGCTTGGAGGATGGAGAGAATAATCATGTCACCTTTAAACCTGTATGATCTGTTGCCATAGAAAAAGGTTAGAAGTCTACAAATTCTGACTTTAGTTCAGTAATAAATGAAGGTTGGGTAGGGTCCTAAGTTTCTGGGGAAAAGCATTAGCCAATGTGTACAGCAGCAGCCTCTGGTGGTCTAAGAAAAAATGTTAGGTAATATCTATAAGTAGGGATAGAAATATGGTTTTCAAAAGCATGTATGTACATATTTAGCTATTTGCTTCAATTCTTAATCCAACACATGAAAAAACAGATGCTTTTAAAAATGGTCTTGTTAAAAAGACCTTTTAAAGACCTGGTCTTTAAAATTGCTTGTTAAAATCTGAACAGAAAGAATATTAAAATCCATTATACATTCATTAACACATTATATAAAAGGAAAATGTTTTGGTTTAATCATTCTATAAATTATTGTGGGCAGTGTTGATAACCCAGAAGATTTTTCCTTGTTTTGCATTGCTGAAAAAGAAAGCAAATTTATAAGACTGTTACTGAATTGATGACATTTTCTGTCTTCACTCTTGAATTCAGTTGGCAGATGTTTTCAAGAACAAAAAATTCTGTCTTATTACAAAACATATTAAGCAGGTTTTTCTGCCGTAATGTTTGACATGATGTTTATTGCCCAGACCAAATCAGTCCCGTTAACAAGCTTTAATGTATGCCAGAAAGTACATTATTTCATAGTTAAGGAAACCCACAGCATGAAACAATAAGTGCTTTGATCTTTCAAGCACTATGCTTAATACACTACACACTCTGATACTCATTTTTATTTATATTCATTTTGTTTGAAAACACAGCATATTTTGATTTTTTTTTTTATTTTAAGGCTCTGCTCTTATTTTTGAAAACCCCAGGTGTTTGTATTTTTCTATGAAAATAAAGAAAGTGCTGAAAGAATAACGGAAGAGATGCATTCTTCCAAATCTTGGAAAGCCTAACTATGTAATGTAGAGCCTCGGGTGACATGAAAGGCCCTTCCTCATCAGATCTTTCTTACGGTTAGGGTTAGCAACCCTGCAAGAAAACACAACAGATATTATCTATTTCTAGTTATCAACGGTGTTAAAAAGTTTCTCCGGGACATTTCAACAGAAATCTTCCTTCAATATTACATACTGTGTATGTCTTATCTTGCTTGTTTGCACTTAAGTGCAAGTATTTGCCATAGTCCTGTGAGGAACCGCAGTTCTGACTTAGTCTCTTTGCTGCAGTTTGCCATTCTTGACCAAGTAACATAAGGTTTACTGAATAGTTTCAAAATTATTTAATGATATTACGACCAAAGTAACATCATCCTCTAGTTTTTCTTTGAAGTGACAGTATATTTTAAGTTCCTCAACAGCCCAATGAGTCAAAGGCAGCCTATATCACAGAAAAATACAGAAATCAAACCTAAATTGCCCTTTAAGAATACTGACCCATAGCCAACTTCAATACTGTACCTCACAATAGCCTATGGCTAAGATAAACCTAGAAGCAAGTCCCACGAGGCTACTCTCTGGAGCATGCCCAAAATACACCACAGATATTATAAAAATTGCACCATTTTCCGTGTTATGCATGGCCAGATTAACACACCTATGTGCATGGAAAAGGAAAAGAGAGCAGAGTATGCTAAATTCATCGTTCCCCTTGCAACCAAGTCATAGTTCTGCCAACAGAGCAAATGGTACCCTCAAGGTAGCCTTTTTTTTTTTTTTTTCCCAAGCCAAAAACAAACTAAAACCTAGCATACAACAGCAGTTTCACTGGAAAATTCATTTCAGTTAATTTGTCAAGGAAAGGAGACCACCACATACACTTTCAGTAAAATGTATACTATTCGTCTTCTGGTTTGAAGATAATAAAGGGAATGGCAACAGTAATTTTTAATGTGTATATTCACATAAGAAAGAAAACAGTATGGAGTCAGGCATTTTATATCTTGTGGGTCAAATCTCCTGAAGCCAAATTTCATGCCCCATCAGGCAAGGGATCCACAAGAGGGTGAATCTGTTAGAAAAGGTTCTTTTTCAGCAAGGGGACACCAAACCAGCATGCTGACTGCACACATTTCTGCAGTGCACAATATCTGCTAGCTTGAGATGCACCTCATTAGGAGTCTGGTTTTCTCTCTGAAGTGGCAGGGACTGACTGCTGCAGGCTTATATCTTAAAAAGTAACAGCTAGAAACAGTAAGTGTGCCGTTGATAACTTTAAACATATATACGCGTGTCCTGTTGTCTCTCAGACTAAGTAGGGAGACATTTCTCAAAGGACACAATAATATTTTATGATATTAATCATTCTCACAGCCAGGTTGCTAATTCTTTAGCCAGACAGTAAAACTGTATTTCTCCTATAAATTATTGTTATTTTAAGCTACATCAAAAATTTGAAATGATTCTAATGCCTGTTTTGCTTGATTTTTTTTTATCAAAAGGCATTCGCATTTTTAGTGTTTTCACTGCACTGTGGCATTTCTGACGTTTTATTATCGGCTGAAAATGCTCCCTTTCCTAATAAGGGTTTTGGAAATTGCGTGACTCAGTCTAGAATGGAAATGCATAGTATGTATATGAAGCAGGCTGTGTCAAAGTGCAAATAATATTGTTTGTGCCCCCTGCAGAAGTAGAAATCCTCGGGTAGCACTGTTGTAACGATTCCATGCTGGTAGCATTACAAAGTGCCAAAGGTTAACTGAGTAAGAAAAGAGCAATGGACACAGTTTCATCATTACACCATTCCTAAACTATTCTGGCTTAAATATTTATTAATATCTTAATAATTCTCTGCCTTTATCTGCCTTCAGATGTTTAGCCGCAACATAATGTATGATGGCTCATAGACAAACAATACATTACAGGGTAAATCAGCTACCACACAAGATGAACATTGCTGTTTTCTATAATATACTATTAATTCAGCAGGCAAAGTATTAAACTATCACGCTATAATTACTGTGCATCCAATACAAGACAATATAATATTGCAATATAATATAATGGTATGTTGTGAAAGTACTATTTCACCTAAGCTGCTGTGGAAAATGTTTCTTACGTATACCTCTGTTTAAAACCATTTTTACAAAGTCTCCCTTAAATCATTCTCTGTTTTGATAGCACCACTGAATTCCTTTGGGATTTATTTGAAGCTCCACTTTGAAATTAGAAAGGAATGTTTTGTAACTCTTCCAAATCTTCACTTTCAATAAATAACAAAATATAAAGAGCCGGGCAATGTGAATGAACTCCTGAATGCCATCTAAAGTAATGTGTTGATGTTCAAAAACATACAGGGCATACTAATGTAAACAGTAAACATGTACGCACATTATTCAAGAAAGGCAAACAAAACTAAAAGGGACTTACTCTAATGTACATCTGCACTGTTTCTTTTTCTTTTTGGGGGTTTCGATACTTTTCGTAAAAGTCACGTCGCTTCTTTGTTTCCTTCTGGATTTTATCTTTTCTTTCTCTCTTTTCTGCAGGTTCATCTGAGCTATCAGAAGACAGCTGTACTTGGGCTTTTGTCTTCTCCACTTCAATATAGTTCTCATTGGGATTCAGTACTATTACTCCATAGCCCTCCTGTTTTAGAAGAGACAAAAAGAGGAATATGAAAAGGGAGATTTAATACTTGAAAATGCTTTGAATCTACTTGAATGCTCTTAAGAATGTACGTATTTATTTCAGTAAGTTCACACAATATAATTTTCTGACTATTTTAAGAACATTCTGCTTGATTCACTTTTGTCATTAAAAGAATATCGATGTGTCAGTATATGTTTGTGCATGCCTTTATGCATATACACATCCCTCAGCATCAGAAAAATTGCCTGTTTTACCTTTAATATAATTTAATATACTGTTGTTATTCATAAGTACATTATATGACTTTTTACAGAAAAAAAATACTAGAACTAAAGCAAAATATTATATGACCTCTACAGAATGGTGAATACAAAGGGTTATGCTCAACCCATAAAAACCTTTTTAATAGAAAAGATTTCATGTATACATATATATATATATATATATAAATTACATAAAACTATTCAGCACAATTGAAAATAGCAAAACCTTTTGTTAAGCTGACCCCAAGCATACCACGCATGAACCAATGGTGGCAGCCACAATGAATCTCTACCAGAAAGAGATTCACTGCTGCTGTTTACAAGTCAACTCTCTTACTGTGCCGATGACTTATAAGTACCTCTTTAAATCTGCTCAAAAACTTCATTGGGATTATGTCCTACATTCAAAAACACAGGGAAAATTTGTGATCTGTGGGATGCTTTTGAAAATACCAGCTGCATTTTTGTGCCTCGGAAAATGGGCTGATTGAAAAACACAGGAATTTATGAATGAGAAATAAACCCTGAATTAATCAGCTCATTATTTTATTATGATTTTTAAATGACGGCAACCCTTATAACAATTGTATTATTCGTGAACATTATAATCGGAAATGCAGAGTGAGAAGAGAAGCACATGCATTTAACAGATGAGTCCTTAAAGTCCCTATGGCTTCAAACGAAACCCAAGCTGTCTTGTAAAAGCAATTTTTGGAATAAAGACTTGCTTTTTGAAAACATCTATATTAATTCTCTAACCAAGCAGCTTCATCCTAGCTGTTTATCTGATGCTAAATTTTGCATTTAGCCTAGGCCCGAGGATCAAAGCTGTCCACATACCTAGGTTGACCAGAGTAAACCAACTCTCCTCCAACAAAAGATACTTTATTTGGCTTTGGTTTATTCTAATCTGTAGAGCTATTCAAAAACCTTGTAACGCATTGTGACCACTGTCAGGTAGACAGATTGGCGCTCGGTGATTTTCTACAGTTGGACACACTCGGCTAGTTATTAAAATCACATTTGAAGGAAGCGCCTACCCCTCTTTCC